CCCAGCCCAGGAGGCCACTCGCCTGCCGGGCCACCTGGGCACACAGGGTTTCCCCCCCAGGTGCTGGGACAACGAAGCTACGCGTGTCTCTCTGCGCTCAGACGGACCAGGATCTCTCCCGAAAGCCGCCGCAGATTCCCTTCCCGCCCATGCCAGCGATGCCCAGTCTCTGCACCGCAGATGAGCGCGGGACGGGACACAAATGGGAGAGTCCCGGGGGTCAGGAAGCTGCCAGCGCCAGGTTGGACAACCCGAGGCGCTGCCCAAGAGGCTCCCACTCGGGTGGGTGGGTGAGTGGGGAGAGCAGTAGCCCCACAGGCTCAGCCCTGCTTGGCTCAAACGGCTTCTGTGCTCACAGGAGAAAAATTTCTGGCGGGTACTGTGAAATGCGTGCAGGGGCTGTCGCTGTCGGTGCTGTGGGGGCTTTTGGGGCTCAGCAGCAGCTTGGGGGCTCTCAGTTTTTTGGGGTAAAGGCCTGGGGCTCAGCACTCAGGCTGGTTATACCAGCTGCACTTTGCTTGCTCGTCTTTTTTTTGTTTTCTATTTCTGATCAGGACACTTCTCCCAAATCCCAATGCTGCTTTTCTGAGTTACTCTGTATCTTTTAACTTGAGATCGGCACCGGAAAAGAAGATGGAAGCATTTCCCCACCAAGTTTGAGGTTGTTCATACAGCAGTCAGGGTAAATTGCAGCAAATTATTCATTTAACGTCATTAAGCACAGGATATGAAGCACAGAATCGCCACTTTGCTATTCAGAAATGCCGCTGTTGTTAGATAATCTGCTCTCCAACCACAGAACGGCAAAGAGATCACTTTCCAAAGGTGGGATTGAGGCTGGAGTCCCCAAATAAAAGAATTTTTGAGGCTGACAGATCATAACATGCTGCAAAAGAAACCTGATGCAAGCTTTTAAAGCTCAAGTCATGAGCTCATGCAGTCCCTCAATAGCTTAACAATAAGCCACTTTGGGCTATCTGGCTTCATTTCCTGGTGATGGAAGCGAGACTGGAAGGGGAAGAACAGCGCATTCCTTCACTGGCCACAGACACTCGACGCTGTATTTCTCTCGGAGCACAACTCAACACAGCTCACAACTGCGCTGCGAGCTTCAGTGCCAAGTCTCGCTCCAGAGCAGGAGACTGCCAAATAAAATACAGTGAAAGAGTCAGCTTCCTTCGTAAACGGCTGTACTTGATATGTGGAGGACTAAGCATCCACGTGACTGGTAGTGCCGAGCAAAATCTGGCACCAGGTCTGAAAACATTGCTTGCATTTCAATTTGCCCTTTCTAAGCACAGCGGTATTTCTAGTGACGTTCGTTTTGACGGGGAGCACCACTTCACTCTACGCGAGACTTGCAAGAAGCAGGAATGAGACAAGCAGAGCATTAAATGTCACCAGAAAAATGAAAACAAACCCCCTGTCTGCAAGGATAATTGGGCAGAGCTACCAAGGGAACCTCTCATAAGGAGATGAAAGGGGACAGAGCTTTTCCAGACATCTCACAAGAGCCAGGGAC